TGATGGAAACAGCTGATAATTTTTGCAGATTCCAGTAACTGAAAACAAAAGATGGTTTGCCCAAATACAGGAGGGTGTTGGAGAGGTCAATTTTACTGTGGAAAAACGTACTTTCGCCATTAAAATTTTTCTATTTATTTTTAAGTTTTCATTGTTTATGCTTTGTGAACTGTACCCAGGAAAGGTTATTATGGTGGCTTACAGAACGTGCCAGGCTTTTTGTCACCCTAGTTTATAGCCCTGTTCTCCTGCCATTATAGTCAATGAGAGTTTTGCTACTGATTTCAATAAAGGTAGGGTCCTTCGACAAGAAACATGGCAAAATATTTAAACTTCATATGATTAAAGGCACGTTTATTGTGAATGCAAGTTGTATTATCAGTGAGAGACTCATTAGAGTCACTTGTCTTTATTCACTGCCGAAGTTTCCAAACTGGTTTTATTTATTATAACCCATTGAGGAAAATGTAGTATAATGCTCCACACACAGTATTATCAACTGGATAAAAACTTAAGATAGTCTAACTCATTATAAAGACATCTTATTACAGTAACATTTCATCACCACACATATAATCTCTGTTACTGATGTCTAACAAGCCATTTGATTCCATTGTCCTTTTTAATGACATAATTAATGGCATTTGTCAGCAAAAGTAATTAATTGGGTAGAGCCTTTGTGTTGCACCATCAGAAGTGGATACCCTGGTGGAACGTTGCTATTGATTTTTATCCAGTATTTATTAGCAAACTTTGTTGGTTCTATATTAAGGAAATTGAAAATACAACCCAGTACAACAGCAAACTGCTTATGTGATGTACCAGCCCCTCCCTCATCCTTCTTCAGAAGCAAGTGGATGTAGAGTCCTGGTGTTTGTCCAGCAACCTGTTCCCAATAAATTAAAACCTCTGCCAAAAGTCTCTTTGGCAGATAGTCAAACATTTGACTCGCTACCATCCAGTCTAAGCTGTATGTGGGATGATTCACAGATCCAATTCTCCCTTGTGGAATTTAGACATCAGATTCAAATCAGGTCATAGGGCAGATCTACACTACGAACTTTTGCTGACAGACATTACATCAGCATAAAGCTGCCGCAGTTAGCATATCGCTTGTGCATGTGCATGCTTGACTTCTTGCGTCTACACTGCATGTACTCACCAGGAGTGCTTATGTCGATGCACAGTGTGGTGTACCATGGGGAGGTATCCTAGTGTGCAGTACACCACCATCCGGCACATTGTCTTTTGGGAGGTTTTGTATGTAACGAGTCATGCAGGGGTGATTGCGAGAAAGGGGTCAACTTATCTGTCTCCATCATATAATGTTATCTATTTCTCACAATTTTTGCACTGTTTTTAAAAATGTACGATCCCACACGACCCACTTTACAGTCCGCCATCTGTGACAGAAGCATGGAGCCTGCACAGCTCTGCACTATTGTCATAAATGTTGCAAGCACAAGACACATGATCCACCGGTATTTGCAAAGCCTTAAGAACAAAATCAGTGGGGAACATGACGATTTCTTGGAGGACAGATTGCTGTGGGACATAGTGAGAACCATTTCAAGGTTATTGGCATTCACAGAGCAGCTGCAGACGGTGGAGCGCTGCCTTTGGGCCGGAAAAATGAACACTGACTGGTGGGATCACATCATAATGCAGATTTAGGATGATGATCAGTGGCTGCAGAACTTTTCAATGCCCAAGGCCACATTCCTGTATCTGTATGCTGAGCTCATCCCAGCCCTGTAGCACAGGGTCACCAACATGAGAGCTCTGCTGACAGTGGAGAAGCAAGTGGTGATTGCACTATGGTAACTTGCAATGCCAGATTGCTACCGGTCAGTGGGAAACAATTTTGGAGTTGGAAAATCCACTGTGGGAGCTGCAGGGCTATTAATCACCTGTTGCTACATAGTATTGTCACTGTTGGTAATGTGCAGGAGGTACTGGATTGATTTGCAGCAATGGGGTTCTTGAAGCATGCATATCCCTATTTTGGCACCAGACTACCTTGCCACAAAGTACATCAACAGAAAGGGCTGCTTTTCTATGGTTATGCAAGCATTGGTGGATCACCGGGAATGCTTCACTGATATCAGTGTTGGCCAGTTAGGGAAGGTGCATAACACTCACATTTTTAAGAACACAGGAATGTTAAGAAAGTTTAAAGCAGGGCCTTTCTTTCCCATTGATGGGAAAGAAAGCAACCTCGACACCACCAAGGAAAGATTCAGATACCAGCTCATCAGATGCAGAATGACAGATGAATGCACTTTTGGTAGATTGAAGGGACACTGGCATTGTTTACTCACAAGACTGGATCTCAGTAAATATAACATGCCAATGGTTACAGCTGCCTGTTGTGTCCTGCATGATATCTGTGAAGCAAAGGGTAGGGTTACCATACGTCCATTTTTTCCCAGACATGGCTAGCTTTTTGGTAATCAAACCCCCGTCCAGGGGGAATTGCCAAAAAGCCGAACATGTTCGGGAAAATACCGGCCGGGCACTTCCCCTCCCGCGGCTGCTCTGCTCCTCCCCTGACTCTTCAGCTCTGTTTAAGAGCCGAGCTGCCCGAGCGCTCCGGCTTCGGGCAGCCCCCTTGCCTTCGGACCCTGTGCCGCCGGAGCAGAGCAGCTGGAGCCCGGGAGGGAAAGTGCCCGGCCGGCGGCTGGGGTCCGGAGGCAAGGGGGCTGCCTGAAGCTGGAGCGCTCGGCTCTTAAGCAGAGCCAAAGAGTCAGGGGGGGAGCACAGCAGCTGGAGCCCGGGAGGGGAAGTGCCCGGCCGGGGGCGCAGGGTCCGGAGGCATGGGGGCTGCCCGAAGCCCGAGCGCTCGGCTCTTAAACAGTGAAGCCGGTAGCACTTGGACAGCTCTTTTTGCGTGGCTGGGAGGGAGGAGGGGGAGTTAGGGCAGGGACTTTGGGGAAGGGGTGGGGAATGGGTGGAGTTGGGGCAGGGCCGGGGGTGGGAAAGGGGCAGGGCCAGGGCCCCGTGGAGTGTCCTCTTTTTTTATTTTTTAAATATGGTAACCCTAGCAAAGGGGGGAAAGTTGCTGCTGGGGTAGAGGGTGGAGTTGGAACAGCTGTGTGCTGAGTTTGAACAGCCAGACACAAGGGCTGTTAGAAGAGCTCAATATGGAGCTATTCAGGTCAGGGAGGCTTTGAAAGAGCACTTTAACAGTGAGCCACAGTAATATGTTGTGGTGGACAGTGCTCTACCTGGCCTGCTATTTTGGGGCCCGTTAAGAACTGTGTGGTGCTTGGTGCACAACTTTGAATGTTACACCATCAATGCCCCTATTAATTTTGTGGTGCTTGCTGAACATTTATGATTATCACACTGTGGTTGTCCCTGATCCTATGAGTTGTGTGTAAGCCTAACATCAGTACTGGGCAAATTGATTGAAACCATAGAAAAGAACAGAATTATCAGACACATAGATGAACATGATTTGTTCAAGAAGAGTCAATGTGGTTTTTGTAAAGGGGAATCATGCCTCACCAATCTACTAGAATTCTTTGAGGGGGTCAACAAGCATGTGGATAAGGGTGATCCAGTCGATATACTGTACTTAGATTTTCAGAAAGCCTCTGACAAGGTCCCTCATTAAAGGCTCTTAAGCAAAGTAAGCTGTCATGGGATAAGAGGAATGGATCAGTAACTGGTTAAAAGATAGGAAACAAAGGATAGGAATAAATAGTCAGTTTTCAGAATGGAGAGAGGTAAATAGTGGTGTCCCCCAAGGGTTTGTACTGGAACCAGTGCTGTTCAGCATATTCATAAATGATCTGGAAAAAGGGTAAATAGTGAGGTGGTAAAATTTGCAGATGATACAAAACTACTCAATATAGTTAAGTAGTAAAGCAGACTGCGAATTGTTACAAAGGGATCTCACTAAACTGAGTGACTGGACAACAAAATGGCAGATTAAATTCAATGTTGATAAATGCAAAGTAATGCACATTGAAATACATAATCTCAACTATACATATAAAATGATGGGGGTCTAAATTAGCTGTTACCACTTAAGAAAGAGCTCTTGGAGTCATTGTGGACCGTTCTCTGAAAACATCCACTCAATGTGCAGCAGCAATCAAAAAATCTAACAGAATGTTGGGAATCATTAGGAAAGGAATAGATAAGACAGAAAATATCATATTGCCTCTATTTAAATCCATGGTATGCCCACATCTTGAATACTGCGTGCAGATGTGGTCACCCCATTGCCAAAAAGATATATTGGAATTGGAATAGATTCAGAAAAGGGCAACAAAAATGATTAGGGATATGGAACAGCTTCTATTTGAGCAGAGATTAAAAAGAGTGGGACTTTTCAGGTTGGAAAAGAGACGACTGTCCTGTCTGCTCTTTCCTTCGCAGGCTGTCTGCAGTACTCACCCTCCAGGCCCTTTGCTCACAGTCTGATGCAGCACTGGCTTGCAGGATCTCACTGAACATGTCATCCTGAGTCATCTTCTTTCTCGTCCTTATCTGGCTCAGGGGTCCGTGGGTGTGGAGGGGAAGACTACCACAAGGCTTCAATGACAGCAGCTGCAGATAAAACACACAGAGGTACCAATGTCAGTATAGTCACAGCGGAAAGTGAACGTTAAGATTCAGAACTCCCTTCCCTGGCTCCCCTAAAGTTTTAAACTAGTTTCATATGGACACTTCTGCTCGGGATTGCTTGTGCATGGTGCCAGTCACAGCACCAGCCATGGTGAATATATCCCACCGGGGTGAGGGAAATGAGGGGGGAATTGCTCGGTTGCATGAAACTATGATTATAGGACAATTACACTGAATACTGGCACCATTTTCCACAGGTGGTGGTCAGGGCCGGCTTTAGGACCTGCGGGGCCCGATTTGAATACCCGGCGGCGGTCCGGGTCTTTGGCGGCACTTCGGCGGTGGGGGGTCCTTCACTCAGCTCCAGGTCTTCCGCGGCACTGAAGGACCCCCCACTGCTGAAATGCCGCCAAAGACCTGGAGCAGACCCCCCACCGCCGAAGTGCCGCCAAAGACCCGGAGCGGACCGTGGCCGGGTGAGTAAAAAAAATTAAAAAGGCGCCTAAGGCATGGAGCCCTCTTAGGTGCGGGGCCCGATTCCTAAAACCGTCCCTGGTGGCGGTGATTTTAACTGATATCTCACTCCGGAGGGTAACAAAGGCAGAGAGAGGACAGCTGCTGGCGTCCCAAGGCTGCTCTCACCCATATGCTGCTCAACTGTGTACTGCAATGATGCCTGCTGAAATTATTGCTGACTGGCTGGGGCGGTGTCTTACCACAGAGGAAGAAATAATCCCTACAAACTTTTGGGAGAGGACTGCAGCATATCTCCATGAAAGTTTTACTGCTATCTCTCAGGAGGATTCAGGTAGGTTGGCCACTCATCCTGTACTAAACCAGACAGTCCTGCTTTTCTAGGGTTTGTCCCGTCCAGTATTCAGACAAAACTGGACATGGTTTTGTCGGTATCTGATAGGAGATGTCATTTTGAAGAGTGCGCTGCTTGCCCCCTGGTGGCATGACCTTGCACATAAGGTCATGCTGGCAGGGGTAGAGTGGCACGGTCTTCAAAATGGGGCCCTCCATGTGGCGTGAACTTGGATGCAGAAGGAGACTGCTCTTTGGAAAACATGGCCCTCAATGTCTCTGAACTGCCAAGGGTAACTGTGATTAATAGAAAAGGGAGGCAAGGACTCTGTTACTAGGACCCAGAGAAAAAGATAAGGACTTTGATAAGGACATCACAGTGGGCAATGAATGCTGAAGTCAACTCTTGTTTGACTTAGATTAGCTGAATACATACTAAACATGTGAGAGCAAAGAAACAATGTTAGGAATCTGTCATTTTCAAACAGCTTCTTGAGGATTAACAAGCTCTCACATGGAGATAAATGGTCAAAGTGCTGGTGTGAGAATCACCAGTTGCTCTTCATTTCGTGGACCACTAAATATGGATTATTTGCTACTCAGTCCCTACAATGGAAGAGGCTGTGTCCTCAGCTGCGTGGAGGGGGTAAAATAGGAGGTCCAAACAAGATTAGCATCCTTTGCAAAAGGCAAACACACAGGCTGCATCTCTCTGCCCTCAGAAGGGATAAAAAAAAAGTCTCCACCAAAGTAGGATCAGACATAAAGAACTCAGTAGCAACCTTGCTCAGCATAAATGTAATCACGATCTGATGGAACCAATCTTAATTTGACAAGCTAACAGAGATAACAGTTAGTCAATTTCCCATTTCAACAGGCAGAGTGATAATTGAAAGCTTCCAGATATATCACATGGAGATCAAACTTGCAGCGAGCCGTAAACTTTCTGATAAAGGGCCCAAGCCATCTTCCACTGAAGTCAATGACAAACCCCCATTGACATCAATGGGCGCTGGGTCAGGCTCAAGGTGAAAAGCCATTTTGAAAACAGTTACATTCCCCTACATCCCCAGTCAGGACAAAACAAGCGTCAGAGGATGCTTCGTCCAGATTGTACCATGTATCCTAATTCCTTGTGTGGTGAGTTGCCGAGAGTTCTGACATTGTGCCCTTCAGAGGACAGTGACTGCCGACATCCCTGTGCAGGTTAAAGAGAGAAGAATTCAGACAGCAAGGGGGTAAATAAATAAGGAGCTGGTGAAGACCAAACTTTCCAATAAGATTTCTCCTGTTTTCAACGCAGTTGTAAGGACAAAAAGACTGCAGGCCGGGTTCTGGCCAAGCTGTGCTCAGTGCAGGACCTGAGGATGAAGGGAAAGTGAATCTAACGCCACCTTTCCACTCCCCTGAACCTGGGTATAACCAGGGTCCAATTAAACCCCTGGCATAATGGGCTTCTCTAATTTACACTGGCCTAGGGGTCATTCCACTGGATCAGGATCACTGCCCTCCAGCAGCAAACTCTGCAACTGCAGACAAGTCCCCCAAATACCTGCATGGCAGCTCTGTGCCACCTGAGGATTCCCTGATGCCAAGGATATCGCCGCCTGCCCATTAGGGGCAGCTTGACAGGCTACTTTGCTGAGCAGCTTCCCAGCTGCTTTTCTTAGAAGTGAAAAGGAACTGGATGGGGGCCAGGCATCTGGCCTCTTTTCTTATTATTTATTCATATTACAGTAGCACTTATTGTTCCCTGCTAAGCTCAAGGCCCCATTGGGCTAGGCACTGCACAATCACATAGTAGAAGACAATCCCTGCCCAAAGAGCTTCTATTTTATATAGAAAAGACAGATGAAGGGATGATTTTACAGATGATAGAAGCACAGAGAATTTAATTACTGAGGCACAATGAGATTAAGTGATTTGCCCAAGTCACACAGGAAATCTGTGGCAGAACAAGGAACTGAACTCAGAACTTCTGAGGCCCATTGTCCCTCTCAAAATTCTCCTGCCTTATGCTGGGCAACAAGTATAATCTCATAAGAATTTGCTAAAGTGAAGGACTGGTGCAAATACATTAACTGGTGGGAGTGTGTACTGTAGGTTCATGCTGCTACACACCTGGCTAGTGAGGGATTTCTAGAGAACATTAATGGCAGACCCTTTTGCTAAAGATGAAACTGATTTACTGTATAATATGCTTTATCTCCGCCAGCCTGGGAAGCGGGATTACTGAGACATTGTCTATTGTGTGCCAGCAAAGAACTCTGCTTCACTGACCTCTCAGACATGCAACACTAAAATGATTTTTCTGTTTTTCAGCCAGGCCTATAAGGATTTTAAAAGACTAAATGCAATTCCATTCTTTTCAGTAACTACAGCCAACATCTAAGTTGCTGAAACATGAAATTTCTTCCCTCGAATAGACAACCTTGGAAGTCTAACCCAAAAGAAATCCCATTAGTCATACACTGAGTCTGTCTCTGGGAAAATTGCTAGTGGAAGTGGGACAAATAGGCCAGGTAAGATGAGTAATGTATTTATTCTGGATTCATAAGAGCTGATCCACCTTTGATTTCCAGTGGGGGTAGATGGAATCGCTGTGAAATGTGTGGTTAAGCAGGGAGCTCAGACTGCTCTCTCTTTGGGAGGGGTGGTAAAGAGGTTACTAGAGGACAATTGTCTTGCTCACTAGGGTCAAATGCTGACTGGCCCATGCACAGGGCTGATGGGAAAGACACAAAGAGCCCCTCCCCATTTTGTGCGCCCCGTGCCAGGACATGTACAACTGCAGTCCCTGCACTTGGGAGGTACAGACATTGCTATGTGCCCCTGGGAAGTACAAATCACCCAAAGGGGGCAGAGAAGCAGGGCAAAGGATCTATGGCAACAGCTGTGCCCCGCTCAATTCTCCCTAAAATCCACAGAGCTACACACTGCACACCTGAACTCAGAGCAGGCTTTGGGGTGGGCGCTAGTGTCAGGGGATAGGGTCAGTGTGTTTTATCACATACACTTCCTGCCCCAGCCGCTCTCAGATTTCTCTTGCCCCTCGGAAGAACATTGAGTGTGGAGCTACAGCTAGGGCAGGCAAAAGCGGCTTTTACAGCGTAAACACACATCCATCTGTGCCAGGAAACTTAAATAGGGCCTGACCATGTCCCTAGCCTCCAAGATCAGCTCATTTAAGTTTGGGGCACACATTCTAAATTGGCAGTTTTAGGCTAAAAAATATTATGTTAACAAATGTGCTCTGCTCATGATATACTGTACAGACTGGTTAGGAAATGTTCTCTTACCCCAATTTCAGTCAGGTTTTGAAGACAAACATCCTCCACAAATGACAGTAATGGAATTTAACAGCAAAGACCACCCAAGACACTGGGAATCTCAAGTTGCTTGGCCTCAGGTTCTCTGGTTTGTTCTGCTCGGCCTCATATGCACTCTTGGTTGAGATACAAAGAAAGATTGTTTCCTTCCTTCCTGACTTGGATTTTTCTTTTACTTCTCATCTGACCAACATAACATTTAGTAGATGGGCTGGAAAATTCTAGAATTTTGAATTCAAATATAGATACAACAACAAATGTTATAAAAGAGCCAAAAGTCAATCGCTATGGCAATTTATAGAGGAGACTCAGTGGGGTTTGGCTTTTGTAAATAACTTTTCTCTCTCTAGGGTATGTTTGCATTACAGGTGCTGCAGCAGCACAGCTGCTGTGCTGTAGTGTACACACTTACTGCAGTCAGGGAAGAGGTTTTTTCATTGCTTTAGTAAATCCACCCCCTCAAGGGGTAGGAGCGAGGTTGACGGAAGAATTCTTCCATTGGCCCATTGGTGAATATATTTGGACTTAGGTCAGCTTACCTACATCTCTCTGAGGTGTGAATTTTTCACACCTCTGAGCAATTTAGGTATGTTGACCTAAGTTTTATGGGTAGACCAAGCCTTAAAGAGCCTCTCCTTGCCTCAGGCTCTTTGGGAAGCATCTCAGCTTATATACCAAAAATGTCTTTTTATCCCCTTCCCTGTTCATTTGTTTCCTGTTGAACTGGCCAACCCGTACAAACTACAGGACTCTTTTCACACAGTTAGCCACGGACAGGAAAAACAACCAATCAAAATGAAGCATCTCCACCCATCTTAGTAGCATCTCCTCTGCTTTCTGATCCTACTTTGAGCTGTCAGAGTAAAGGCTGGGTCTACACTACAAAATTTTGTCGGCATAGCTATGTGGGGGCCCTAACCGATACAGCTATGCTGGCAAAACCCCAGTGTATACACAGCTGTGCTGACAGAAGAGTGTGTCTATCGGCATAGATAATGTCATTCAGAGATGGTGGTAGTAAAATGCCTTCTGTTGGCATACATTGCATTTACGCTAGGGGGCTCTGCTGGTATAGACAAGGCAAAACATCAGCTCACCTAAGCACCTACCTTATCAGTCTTTATAACATTGCAAACCGCAAACCTTTGATCTGTCATAGCGAACCCCACAGGAAGAACTGCCCCAGCTACACATCCATAATGGGGCCATCTCTTCCCCCCTTCCTGGCAGTGCAGGATGCTGTGTGGTTTGCTGCTCTAGTATACCCCTCCTTCACTGGATTGTGTTTGCAACTTTTTATTAAACCAAAGTTACAATGAAATGATAACATACTTTGACTTATGCAAGATCAGGATAATATTCAAAGAACCTGGCTACTGGATATTTTAACAGCCCCTCAAAGCTGATGTAGATTCAGCTGTGTGGCCTTCTCTGCCTGTGCTTAATTCCTCCACTGTCTGGCTTGCCCTCTGATGTCTGATGAGCAAGGATCCCTCTCCTCTTCACATGTGCCCGTTAATTATTCTATTCAGAGATCCTGTTTACAGACTGTTACTCTGTTTACAGTTGACTACTGTTAAAAATTTGGTCTTCACAACTCCCTTTCTTCTGCTCCACCCTATGCAACTCCTTCCTGATTTTTCAAAATAAATGTCTCCACATCAGTCTGGAAGGTCTCAAATTCACTGCCCTTTCCCCCAATTGCTGCCCTTACTCCACTCAGAGAAAGGAGTTTCCCCAAAACAGCTGCTTGTCTTCCCAAGACACGAGTGTTTTTTTCCCTCCAGTTCACTAAGGACTAGGAAACAGTGAGTCAGCATCACCATTCTCTTGCTGGGCATGTCCACACTAACCGCTCGGAGGAAACACATTAAAAAAAACCTACAAGCTTTAGGGCTCAGAACCACAAAGAGGTAACATGTGCCCGACTTTAAGCTGCTGAGCAGTTCTATCAAACTCAGCTATCCAAGTGCTTAAAGAGAAGCTTGCACATATGTCTTTGCAGGATTGGGGGCCTCAGAGGACAGAAGGTATTCTGACAAAGTAAAGGAAATACGTACAGACGGGGAAAAGAATGAATTATTTGTTTATGGTGCAACAATTCAGATCTGGGCTAAAAATGTTTTCAGCCCTCTTTCTCATCACTCCATATGGATTTTAAAATATATTTAAAACATGAAAAAAATGAAATAAACTTAAAACAAATGTTCAGTTAAAAATCGTAATAGTTTCCAATTAACAGATTATTATTACTCCCTTGTAGTGCAGCAGCACGAGTTGAGCTAAGGTATTGGGGCCCAGTTATGCTAAGTGCAAAACAAATGGAAAGGAAGGCATAGTTTCTGCCCCAAATGCTTAGGACCTAACGTAGGACAGAATGCTCCACAAGTGTGTGACCATTGACCAACAACAGGGGAGGAAGGAAGAGGGTAGCAATAGGGTCATGAATTTACCTAATCTAACAATAGGCACAACTTGACTGTACCAAATAATTGTTTTAAAACATCTTTTTGTTGGCAAGCCCTCCTCCTTATTATAGATGGAGCTGATAGCACCACCTATAATTAAAGTTGCCTGACACTTTGCATTATCAGACTCTGTTTTCAGTTGCTTATAACTTTGCCAAACTTTAATTGTGCAAATTGAAATCTTCCTGCCTTAGGCTGAAGTTTTTTGGAAAGTTTCAGTAAAAATGGCTCAGTCATTTCCAAGACAGAGATTAAGGTAAAATATGCTTTTCCTGTGTTGTTAAACTACTTACAACGATTTTGTTGAGAAGCTTTAGAGAATGGACTCGAAATTTGGCAGGAGTACAGCATTTCTGTCAGAGCAAGGTTTTTTTGCTATTCTTGTGAAAAATGCCCCAAATTTGGCCAAGTTATAAGCCTCTGAAAAATCTCAGTTCTCATGTATTCAGTAGAAACTTCTTAGAGTTTGGCAGCCAAATTCCCCAAGATTCATCCAACGTGCACCAGCCTGGGGATGATCAAGACTTTCCCTACAACTGCTCATTCCAGCAACCAGGGGCTGCTTTGCAGTGGCACCAATTGAGATATTTCTTGGGGAGGACAAAATTCCACTAGCAGGGCCCCATTCTGCTCCCCACTTGCCTCCCCCTCCTCCCACAAGGACCCCAGGTCTCCCTCGGCTGGGGAGTCTTCCCTCCCTCTTACCACACAGTGCTTGAGCCAGTGCTGCCAGCAGTTGAGTTGTCAGTGGATTCCCCGAAGCTCCACCGCACAGGAACACTCCCCATGTGCCTGGATCACAACCCGTGTTCCCTCTAATTTTTTACATCCATGTGCGGAATGAATTTTGTTATTTGCACAATATGGAAGTGATGTGTGACACATTACCTTCATATTGGTGCACCTAACAAAATTCATGTGGTGGGGGTGGGGCTGAGGGGTTTGGAGTGTGGGAGGGGGCTCAGGGCTGAGGCAGAGGGTTGGGGTGCAGGCTCTGGGGTGGGGCCAGGGATGAGAGGTTTGGGGTGCAGGCTGCCCAGGGGCTGCAGTGGGGAGAGAGGACTCCCCCCAGCCCTCTTTCGCCACAGCAGCTCGGGGCCGGGGGAGAAGTGCCTGTCCCGGCAGCTCCGGCAGGCCTGGGCCTGGCCAAGGGAGGGGCTCCTTTCCCCCAGCCGTGGCAAGTCCGGGCAGGTCCATGCTGGGGTTGGCGCCGGGGGAGGGGTGCCTCTCTCCACTGTGGCAGGTCCGCACTGGGGCCGGTGGGGTGGGGTGCCTCTGCTCGCCACAACCCTGAGCAGGGCTTAACAGGCAGCTGTGCAGCTTAGAGGGAACTTAGGTCACAACACCCCTATATCTGGCCAGGGGGGCGGCTGGACCAAATTTGAATGGTATTGTGATCCTGTGTACCAGGTCACTATGTCACTCGCTGAAATTTGGTATGAGTCAAATTTCAGTGGTGTTGTGACCAGGCAGCTGGAGCGACACAGCAGGGCTCGCCCACAGCAGCCACACTGATTTAGTACAGGACTACTGCTTACAAGTGGTTGGGTCATAGCCCTTCCTCCCCCCGCCCAGCTCCACAGCCTATGGAACTTTGAGCAAGTGCAAAAATATTGGGGGGGGTTGGTGCCCCACGGTTGCCACCACTGCTGCTGTGGTGCCAGGCACAGGAACTGAGAACAGGGGGATTGTCTCTCCTCTGCTACCAAGGCTCCCGCTACTGACTTCCAAGCAGTGGAGGAACAGGAGGAAGCTGCGTTACTGGAAACAAAGAGCCTGGTGGGGAAGGCCTGAGTCATGGAGAGATCAAATGAGAGGCCCCAGGTGGGAATGGGAGTCTGAAGGGCCGGGGGAGGCTGGACTGGCTGGGCAAGGATATGAGGACTGAAAGCCAGGGATTGGCAGGGTGTATGTGAAGTCAGTTGAAAGGGTTAGATGGGACAAGCAGGTAGAGACAAGGCCAAAAGGGGTAGTGCTGGGGGGAATAGGGGTATAAATGTCTGTGACCACTACAGCACGCTTACCTCTGGAGGTTGGAAAATAACCCAAGATTGCTGAGTCTCACCATTCCTCTGCTGTTAGCAAAGATCCATGAAAGCCAGTGACAAAGCGTGTCTCATCCCCCTTCAGTGGCTGGTTCACATAGAGGTTAACAGACTACTGCCACTACCAGTTATTATATTAGCTCAAGTGGCAGAAGTCTACACTGTGAATCTAAAAGTTCCAACCCTACTGATGAGCCATATGGGCATAGTATCATCCCACATAATGAAATTTCCATTTTTTTCAGGAAAGCTTAGGAAAGATACCAAAACTAAACATGTGAGGTTGCAAAGTCAAGCACTCGAATGATAGGAAATGCCAGAATTAAGGTTGCCTGTGCACCCTAGGTTCTTCTTCAAGTGCTTGCTTATGTCGTTGGAGATTTTTGTCTTAGCAGTATCTGTAGGGTCGGCAGTGGCGCCTCCTTGAGTGCCACGCTCATGCGTCGATATATCAGGCGCTATCAACCCTATGCCCTCTCAGTTCCTTCTTACAGCCCGTGGTGGTTAGTCGGAGTGCTTTCCCTTGCATTGCTGATCCCCCGAGACGAAGCAGCGCTCTCCACCTCTGCGCCACAAGTCACCAGAGCCACAGCCCGGATGCTGTGGGGCTTGTCCTCTGTCACCAGCACCACGTTCCCGGTCGCTGCCATCTCAACGCGGATCACCTAGAGCAAGATGCTGGTCGCCGTACTACCGACGCCACTCACCATCCTGCAGATAATCATCTGGGCACAGGTCCCAGTCACCTACATAGTGGGAGTGCTCCCCATCACGTCTTCAGTCCCCCCCAGCACCGGTTCCCAACAGCAACAGCCAGAAAGCAGACCCAGGCATTAACCGCCCCACCGTGGTCACTGGAAGGGGATTCCTCCAGCAAGGAAGCCCAGGTCAGCCCCTCGCCTGGTCTGCACCAGCACGAATGGGCACCCAAGGCTGCGTCAATGTCGATGTCGCTGACTTGGCAGCATGACTAGTGACCTTATTGGGGCGCATGGGGAATGCTGGTTGTGGCGATGCCCCCTTCTCACCACTCATCGGCCGCCACCTCGGAGCAGCAGCTGGTGGCACCGATGGCACTGGGCTCGGTGCACAAGGCACGCCCGGTGGTCGGAGCAGAGGGAACAGCGCCCACCGCTAAGCATGAAGATGCCCTGGAACCTCCCCCAGCGCTGCAGTCATCATCCTCGTCCCCGGATGAGACGGTTGCAGGACCCTCGAGGGCAAGCCCGCCAGACGATTTCAAAGAACATCAGGCCCTGCTGCGTCAGGTGGCCGAGAACTTGAGCCTGGAGGTAGAGGAAATGGCTGAGCAGACGGACACCTTGTTTAATGTCCTGTCAGCTTCCACCCCAAAACATGTTGCACTACTGGTGCACAATGGTGTTCTTAAGATTGCCAAGGATCTTTGGCAAACTCCGTCCTCCATTCCTCCCCCCTCACAGGGCTGAACAGAAGCACTTTGTCCCGGCTGAGGGGTTCGAGAACCTCTATACCCACTCTCCCTCCCCCAGTCTTGCTGGTGGTCTCTGCGGCCAATGAAAGAGACAAACGGGGGCATACCAGTTTGACTCCTAAATATAAAGAGGCCAAACAGTTGGATCTGTTCGGGAGAAAGATTTTATTAGATGGACGGTTTGCCAACCAGATCTGCAAACTATCAGTCCCTCTTGGGCCGTTACAACTTTAGCTTATGGTACTCTCCATAAGTTCTAGGAGTCCCTTCCATATGGGTTGGCTCAAGAATTTGGCACCCTGATGGAGGAGGGCACTGTGGCTGTCAGGTGCTCCCTTCAGATGACATGGGACGTGGCAGACTCGGCAGCCAGGGTGGTCGCGTTGGCGGTGGTGATGAGGCATGGCTTCTGACTGCAGGTCTCTCCCTGGAAATGCTGACCTCCATCCAAGATCTCCTGTTGGATGGGAATGGTCTCTTTTCAGACCAGACTGATGCAAGGCTGCATGGACTGGAGGACACCAGGGCCACTCTTCTCTCACTGGGAATGCATACATCGCAGCCTGCGAGGAAGCAGTTCCAGCTGCCCCTGCCACCTAAGCCTTGGCAGTCTTGCCAGGGACCTGCAAGAAGAAGGGACAGAAATACTAGTTCAGCCACCGTTGCCCTTCTTCCTCCCACTCACCTGCGCAACCCAGTCCAGCAAAGCACTCCGGGGACCAGAAGCGCTCGATTTGAGGGCAGTCACTGTCCAGGATCCAACCCGCTCTTTCCTCCACAGTCTATGTCCCCTCCGTTTGGCCTGGTCCCAAGTCACCTCGGACCGTTGGGTGCTGGACATAGCATCTCATGGTTACAGCCTGCAATTTTTGGCTGCCCTTCCCTCCCATCCCCCCTCCTTCTCATCCCTCTTCAGGGACCCTTCTCATGAGCAACTCCTCATTCAGAAGGTCGAGAACCTCCTGTGCCTGGAGGCGGTGGAGGAGGTCCCTCGGGACATGAGGGGAAAGGGCTTCTACTCCCGCTACTTCCTAATCCCAAAGGCAAAAGGGTGCCTCAGGCCATTCTGGACCCGCGATGCCTCAACAAGTCTCCCTGGCGTCCATTATCCCCTCCCTGAATCCAGGAGACTGGTACGCCACCCTTGACTTGAACGATGCCTTTTTTCCACATCTCTATAGTCCAAAGTCACAGGCGTTTCCTCTGGTTTATAGTGGGCAAACGCCATTTCCAATTCATGGCGCTCCCCTTTGGCCTCTCATCAGCCCCAAGGGTTTTTACCAAATATGTGGTCCGGTGGCCGGTTATCTCAGACATCCAGGAGTCCAGGTCTTCCCATACCTCGACGACTGGCTCATCAAGGGCAAGTCCCAGAACCAAGGACAGAGAAGCCTCGATCTGGTGCGTTTCACCTGCCACAAGCTAGGCATGTTGATAAATGAGAAAATATCCACCTTAAAGGCCAGTCCAACGCGGAGTTCATCGGAGCGGTTCTCGACTCCACACGAGCCAGAGCCTTCCTCCCAGAGGCGCGTTTTCAGGCCATGTCGGATCTGATCTCCCACGTGAGGAGCTACCTGCTCACCATGGCTCACACCTGCCTGCGGTTGTTGGGCCACATGGCTGCCTGTACCTATGTGATCAGTCATGCTTGACTCCACGTCTGGCCTCTGCAAGCGTGGCTGGCGTCGCTTTACACCACTAACAGACATGATCTAGACTGAATGGTCAGGGTGCCGGATCACATCCTGTCGTCCCTGGATTGGTGGTTGGATGCTGGGTCGTGATCCCGTCCCCATCATTGACCCTTGTCTCCGATGCTTCAGACCTGGGCTGGGGAGCCCACTTGGGCAAGCTGAGCACCCAGGGCTGATGGGTGTGGGACGATCTGGCCCTCCACATCAACGTCAGGGAGCTCAGAGCGGTTCGCCTGGCCTGCCAGGCCTTCTTGCCACCTGAGGGGCAAGGTAGTGCAGGTCCTGATGGACAATACCGCCACAATGTATTACATCAACAGACAGGGCAGAGCCAGGTCGTCAGCCCTCTGTCAAGAAGCTCTCAACCTTTGGCACTTCTGCAGCATGCCATTTATCTGGTAGCTGCAGACCTGCCTGGTACCAAGAATGTGCTAGTGGATTGCCTCAGCAGAACCTTCTCGTCTTGCCACGAGCGGTCCCTCCATCTGGAGGCAGCCAGTATGATCTTACGGAAGTGGAGGACTCCCCAGGTGGATTTGTTCGTGTCCTGCCAAAACAGGAAATGCCATGTGTTCTGTTCGCTCCGGGGGATGGACGGGAGTTCCCTGTCGGATGCTTTCCTACATCCATGGTCAGGGGCCCTGATATTCGCCTTCCCACCAGTGCCATTGATCCACAGAGTCCTAGTGAAAATAAAGCGGGACATGGCGAAGGTTATTCTGATAGCTCCCGAGTGGCTTCGCCACCACTGGTTAGGCACGCAGCTGGACCTTTCGGTAGCCAAGCCACTGCAACTCCCTCTCTGGCCGTACCGGTCTCAGAATCACAGCAGTCTCCTGCACCTGAACCTGGAGGCACTGCACTTCATACCATGGCTGCTGCGTGGCTAAATGCGGACGAGCGGGATGCTTGACCCAAGTGCAACAGGCCTTGCTGGGTAGCAGAAAGCCCTCCACCAGAGCGACCTATTGGGCAAAGTGGAAAAGGTTTATGTGCTGGGCCTTGGATTGGTGTGTCCGGGCCAAGCAGGCCTCCCTGCAGGTGATCCTGGACTATCTCCTGCACCTCAAGCTCCAGGGCTTGTCACTGTTGTCAGTCAGGGTCCACCTGGCTGCTGTTTTGGCTTTCCACTCTCCGTTCCAAGGCAGGTCTATCTTCACTTATGATATGACGGCCCAATTCCTGAAAGGTCTGGAGTGTCTTTACCCGCATGTCTGGGATCCGGTCCCTCCCTAGGATTGGAACCTTGTGCTGTCAAGGCTCATCGGACTTCCATTTCAGCGTCTGGCTTCCAACTCTCTTCTCCTTCTCTCCTGGAAGGTGGTGTTCCTGGTGGCAATTACGTCCACCTGCAGAGTATCTGAACTCAGAGTGCTTATGTAGTAACCTCCCTATACGGTGTTCTACAAGGACAAGGTCCAGTTGCGGCTGCACCCGGCGTTCCTACCAAAGGTAGTTTCCCAGTTTCGTACCTGCCAGGACATTTTCTTACCAGTCTTCTTTCCGAAGCCCCATAGTTCCAAAGAGGAGCGCAGGTTACACGCCCTGGATGTTTAGAGGGCGCTGGCCTTTTATATTGACAGGACACAGCCTTTCCGTAAATCTACGCAACTGTTTGTTGCTGTGGCATACAGGATAAAAGGTCACCCAGTGTCTGTTCAGAGGATTTCATCCTGGATTACAGCCTGCATCTGATACTGCTACGAGCTCGCAAGTGTGCCTCCACTGACGATAGTCAAAGTGTACTCAACTGGAGCACAAGCGTCATCAGCGGCCTTCTTGGCTCATGTGCCGATCCAAGAGATCTGTAGAGCTGCTATGTGGTTGTCTGTCCACACATTTACATCCCATTATGCACTTACCCAGCAGGCCCGGGAGGATGCTGGCTTCAGCCGTGCAGTGCTGCTAGCTACAAAACTGTGAACTCCAAGCCCACCTCCATTGGCACTGCTTCTGAGTCACCTAGAATGGAATTGACATGAGCAAGCACTCAAAGAAGAAAAAACAGTTACCTACCTTTTGTAACTCTTGTTCTTCGAGATATGTTGCTCATGTCCATTCTATTACTCACCCTCCTGCCCCTCTGTAAGAGTCGCCGGCAAGAAGGAACTGAGAGGGTGTAGGGTCGGCGGTGCCTGATATACTGATGCATGAACGTGGTACTCAAGGGGGTGCCACAGTCGACCCTACGGCCACCACTAAGGCAAAAATCTCCAGCGATTGCACACTTGGGTGCCCACACACCTCTAATGGAACGGACATGAACAACACATCTCGAAGAACAGTTACGAAAGGTAGGTGACCGGTTTTTATTCCCTCCCGTTTATCCTGCATGTGCCAAAAAGCTGAGCAAGAAAAATAGTGAACTACAACAATGCTCACAAATAACATTCCAGTGTCAGGTTTGGTTTCAGCCACGCCCTTTCCCCTGACTCAGCCAGCCCTTGATTAAATATTGTAAATGCAGTATCTGTATTTACATTCTTGGAAACCTTATAATAGAAACTTTATTGACACATTTGTTATAGTCCTATAAAATGAGCTGATATGACCATCTGGCTTCAGAGCGGGACAGACACTAATTTATTTTAGGTTAATACCCTTTCATTCTGTAGCCTGTCACTTTTTATGGATTCTTTATTTGTAGCAGTCTTGTGCTCTGTTGTACTCACACTTTATGATCTTGTCATTTTAAATCCTTGCATGCTGGGATGGGAATAAACACTTAAAAGCACTGAGTTTAATTACACTCTCAGTTATTAATTAGTCAGGCAAATTAAGTGGACATTTAATTAACTATGTTATCACTTCAAGATGGAAGCAGAGTCCAGACACTTTAAACTGGTATTGTGTTCATTTATCTCAATTAGTCAGAAAGTGTTGAGTAAATCAGGTCATTTAGTTATTTAATGATACAACTAAGTTATGATTTATGTTGCAGTACAGCCCAGAAGCTCTCATCCAGATCTGTGCTCCATTGCGCAAGGTGCTGTACAAATACAGCTCTAAAAACCTCTCTAAGATATGGCCTTTCCACTCCATCCACACAGCTACAGCTCTCATCATCTCATATCGCAACTACTGCAACATCATCTTCTTTGGACTTGACAAGTGCAACCCAGCCCTGCTTATATCCATTCAAAATTCTGCTGCAAAAATTGTTGCCCTAGCCCATCACTTTGACCATGTCACCGCTTTCTTTGCATCTCTCCATGGGCGCCACAACATCCAACATAAACTACTTGTCTATATGTTCTAGGCCTTTTACAGACCCATCTCCATCCAGCATACTCTCTCATGTACTCTTGAGTTGTTGACTCCTGCCTTTGCTCAGCCAGCAATGCTAGCCCTTATTGCCCACTTGTTAAATTGTCAAACAAGTACTGTAATGCTTCCCCCCATGCTGCCCTCGTGGTTTGGAGGAAATCCCCACAAACATCTGCAACACAACTTCATTGTCCCCCTTTGGATCCCTTCTGACAACTCTCTTTTGATGTGATGCCTACAAAAATCTTGATGTTTAGGCAGCTGATGAGCTGGGATCCCAGCGTATCATGTTGACCAGCATTGTATCATTTCTCTGTGTTCCTGTGTCTGCATATATCCACCAGTTGTCTCTTGTCTGTCTTATGTGGATGGCTTGTCCTACAAGGGAAAATTTTACCAGTTGAAGAATACTGGTATAGTTAAACTACTGTAGTTATACCAGTATAAACTAAGGTGCGAGTTTAAACCAAGCTAGGTATACCAGTCTAACTCCTCATGTGATTACATTTATTACAGAAGAGAGGGTTTTTTTTTTCAGTTTAGCTTCTATCACTTTGGAAGGGGTACTGCCCCCAGCCCTTCCACACAGCTGTCTCTCCTGTCTGGGGTCTGTACAGCCCCACCGGAGGATGGGGCTGGGGGCAGTACCGGTACAGCCGCGTCAGAGGAGCTGCTGGCACAGGGCTCCTGAGTGTGTCAGCCCCGTGTTCTGCTCCTTTTGCCACTGAGGTTCCCAGGAGAGCCCTGCGGTTCAGCAGATACCAATTTCTATCTACAGATATCCACATCTGCGGATAGATGTTTGTATCTGCGCATGGCTCTACAATTCATTCTTGAAAATGTGTCTTTCCGGTATGGCATACCGGTAATAAATGTCTTAATGGTATGGCGTACTTGGCCATACTGGCTTACTTGCACTACTGAATCCAGTGTATAATCATGTTCTGTTTACATGAGTTGTATAGGAGAGCTTGTTCTAGCATACTGAGATTTTAAATTAAATGGGTTTAGCCAGGAAAACAAAAGCCATTTGAGGAGCAGCAGCTTGGCCGTCCACCCACATAATCGATCATTTACTACATCTCGAGGAGTAAGGCACCTGGACCCTCAGGAGCATGATGAATCACCACCTTCTGACAAGTCGTCCTGCCACGCCCTGACTTTCCAGCAACCAGACGTAGTAGGGCTCGTGGTGGGTTCTAGTTAGCTCCTTAGTTAAATGGGCACTTTAGACACCCCTGCCTCCAAAGCAGATTGGCCTCTGCTAAGAGGCCAGTTCTGGGAAGGAAGAGGCTGAACAATGGCCTTATTCTCCTATGGGGGTATTGTTTGTTTTAGTAATGTATGTATAAAACCATTTCTGAAACGGCAGCTTTTGTCCTTTCATCTATAGACACCATCTTTGGAGAACTTAATTTGCAGTGATCTAGATTAATAGTTTAAGGCCAGAAGGGATCATTCGATCATCTAGTCTGATCTCATGTATATCACAGGAAATTACATTTCACCTACATTTCATTGTGTATTGAGCACGAGGACTTGTGTTTCACTAAAGCATATCTTCCAGAAAGGCATCTGGTCTTGATTTGAAGACCTCAAGAGATGAAGAATCCACCACCTCACTGGGTCACTCGTTCCATTTGTAAATCACCTTCACTATTTATTTGAATTCATCTGGCTTGAGTGTCCAACGAGCAAGAGCTGGAGTGGCAAAGACTGGTAACACGATGACCACATGGAAGCTGAGGAATTACCCTGAATGGGAACATGGAGAGCCTAGACACGCATTTGAACACTGCCTGATGCAGTGCCCCTTGTCAACGTGCTGTACCTTGGAAGAACTGTTTGAGATACGTGACACCACCAGGTCTTGACTGCGGTTCTGGAGTGAAAAGCTACAATTATGAGCCACCATTGGTTTTGTTATGCTTTTCTCAGCTAAATTAAAGAGCCCTTTAGACTCAGTAGTTTCTCCCTGTGAAATTACCCAGAGACTATAATCAATTCACCTCTTAATCTTCTTGATAAAGATAAACAGATAGAACTCTTTAAAGTCTCTCATTGTAAGGCATTTTCACAAGCCTTTGAATCACTTGCAGAGTCTCATTTAGGTTTCTCAGTCATGTTTGAGTACCAAAGAATAAACTTCCAGGATTCTAAAAAAAAAAAAAAGTAGTGTGTGGTGGGGGGGGGCATGAGAGAAGAGAGCAGCTGGCACAACTGAAACCTATCAATGTTTGAGAACTTTTAAGAGTATAAAGTATCCTAGAGTTATTTTATTAAGGTACATAAACGATTTAGCAAACTACTAGCTCTAATTGCTGAATAAGACCTAGGGAGTGGGACTGTCAGACTAGAAAATAGTGAAAGAAATGAAAAAAACAAATGAACAAAGAGAAATGAAGGCCAAAGTATTGTTTTGTCATCTTACGGACCAGCTATCATAGTTTCTTTAGTGTTAATTTTCTTCCATGAGTTCACTGTCAAATCTTTTTGCTTTCAAGAATATTTTACTTCTGGATTTTCTTTATTAGCTTCATTGCTGAGCAGACACTTCAAAACAGATACATCTTTTCTAAGTACATTCCCCTGAACTTTGCTAGGAAAAGGACTGAGGCAGAACTTTCTCCAGCAATATAATCTGTATAGTATCACTTTTCTTCTTAGTACAGAAATAACAAAAGCTTATGTCCACCAATGATGAGTGATGACTTGTTGTTACATAAAAAAAAGATCTTCCTTCCACTCCTGTTATGTAGCAGTTACTGTTCTGCCTGTTGTATCTTGCATTTCATTCCCTTTATGTGGCATTTAGGTAGCAGCATTAAAGATGCACTGGTTCTTCCTTGAAAGCGAGACCGAGCCATTTTGAAATTCTTCTTTTCAGAAGCTCTGTTCTTTGAATTGTCACCTGAAATTCTCAACATTTGAACTTTAGCACTGACCTGATTTTTCTGGAAGTTTTGTTCTCTGTGGCCAGCCATAGCCCTCAGCATTTCCAATTGGTTTGATCTTGGCTGCCATTCTGTCTAGCTTTTTCTGTGCCCATTTCATCTTCATATCGCTCATCTCTCATTAGTTATCATCAACAGTTGTTACTTTAAAGTCTGTGGAACCAGTGTGGGCTTGTGGATAGGAGACCAGACAGAATCAGAAGAAATTTTATTCCCAGCTCTGCCAATAACTCACTGACAACTTGGAAAAAGTCACACAATCTCTGCCTAAGGCCTGGTCTAAACAGTTGGTTTATTTATTTTTCTTAAACTGGTATGAGTATTTTGGGTAAGCATGTGTTTCCTCTCCCTGACCCTGCTAAACAAAATAGTTGTACTAGTACAATCCCTACCTTGGATGCAGTTATATTGGTATAAAAGAGCCTTGTATCAATATAGCTCACTCCTTTATGGGAGGGGAATAAGCTTATATCAGTAGGTAGCACCTTTCCATGGATGTAACTGCATCCGCACAGGGGGACAGTGTACTATAACAGTCCTGGTCGAGTTAAAACAGTACAACACCCTCCCCCAACCCTGGTAGCACTGGAAGCACCATGGCTAAGGTTTTCTATAAGGTGTGTGTAGCAATCGCCTTAATTTCCCAAGCTGTAAAATGGGGACAAAATTGTTTCCCTCCTTCATAAAACGCTGAAATGTGTTATGTAAGTGCTAAGTGGTGATGTTACAGATTCAAGAGCCAACTATATTACCCAGTACCTGGAATTTCTTTTGCAGGCTCAGTTACATCTCTTATTCTGCTCTGTAATGGCCTCATGGATAGCCAGACTATTTTTCTTATGAGAGTCTGAGAAGAGGAGGGTCCAACAGTTTCTGCTTCATGATGGGAGAAGAGCAAAATCAGGTTTCTATGTTTTTGGCCTTTCCCCATTTTGGAATGACAGAAAACCTTACCCACAATGTTTCAGATGCTCAGAGATCACTAATAGGATTTTGTTTAACAGAGACAGCCCAGCATGCATCTCTTCCCCTCAGTGGCCAGACCAACATCCAAACTAATTACATTTTTAAAGAAAAATCAAGAAAGAAGGGAGTGTATCAGTGAAAAGAGACGAAAGGAAGATCGGGGCGAGAGAAAGTTGATAGAAACAGGCCAGAGGTATGGTAGAAACAGAAAAGGAGGGTGAAGAAAGGGAGAGACGTTTAAAGAAATGTATTGTTTTCAACTCCTCACACAGCTGTCAGTTTGTCATTTTCTGACATTCAGAGGTGGGACAGGGCAGGTGTTTGTCTGAGAAGAAAGTAGAGCTAAAAGGCTGAATTTAGAATTATTACCAGGGTAAGAAAAAAGGTATTGGGATAGAAACATGGTCTGTGCTGAAGAAAGCATCAGAAAGATCAATCTCACAGTCCTTGAGGGCTAAGAAAAAAGGTTACAACTGCAATGTTATGCTATGTGATGGCAAAAATAGATGGCAAAAGTATTCATTTCCCCCCACATGCATAGGCTGGTTTTACCTGCATGGTAGATCGAGCCTCCTATACAGTATTAGGCCAGGTCTACACTAGAAACGTTTGCCAGTATAATAATGTCAGTTGGGGAGTGATATATATATATATATATATATATATATGTTATGTTTACAAAATACAGTAGATTCCACGTAGTTGCAATCCTGATATTGAGCAATGGCATGCTGCTTATTGGCAACTTTGTTTTTAGAAGAAAGATGCCACCCACTTGCAGGCAGGTCTGCAGAAGGAAGCGCTGGGACATGCCAAGCACCCTCTACAGGCAGGTTTGCGAGGCTGCAGCTCGGCATGTCCCATGTCCCAGTACTTCTTCTGGGGGCTGCAGCCCAGCACACCTGATTGCACACAGGGCCCACACAGGTGCTGTGGGCCAAGCACTAGCAGGGAGAGGGGCTGCAGTCCATATGCTGGATCTGCACAGTACCTCTCCCTGTGCTCTCCTGGGGGACTGTGCACAGCGAAGGAAGTGTTGGGATGTGCTGAGCCCCAACCCCTGGAGAGTGCAGGCATAGGTACAGTGTAGATCGTGGCCCCAGCACCACCACTCCCTGTATCTACCAAAGCCCCAGCATCTAGACTGCAGCCCCGCTCCCTGCTGCTGCCCTGCCCACAGGTTTGCAGGGCTGCAACCAGGGAAGACACATCCCAGTGCTTCCTTCCCTGGCTGCTGCCTCACAAACCTGCCTTCTACTTATTAGCAACTGCCAGATAATAGTAACTTTTTGCGGCAAGTGAGGGGTTGTTAATAAGCAGAACTGACGTACTGTGTCTTTACAGGCAAAAACCTACAGGTAGATGCAGTTAATACCAGCATAGAAATGCTTTTGCCATAGGTTATTTTGCTCTAAGAAGCAGTATAAGTTATACTGACAAAAGCATACGCAGCATCTACAATAGGAGGGTTTGCTACAATAGCAAACCTATTCTGGTGCAGACTAGGCCTTAGTTAGTACAATTATTTTCAAGATACTTTAACATTATATAGCGAAAGATACAGGATGAGTTGAAAGCTGCATTGTAAGTAGTAGCTCTAAAGACTGAGAATGAATACACTGACATTTAAATGAAAAATGAGTAGGACAGCCCGCCAATCCCCTGGCATTTTGTAATCTCTTAATTTTTCTTTTTCTTCTACTTTTCTTTCTGGGACTATTATTCTTATTTTAGGCCACAAGACAAATAAAATGTAAAAAACATTATTTAAGGTGTTAGGAGACCAAAATTTAATTGTGCTACCACTTAAAGTATTTGGTTTTAAACAAACTGCAGATTACAAACTGTAAATAGACTTCACTGTGATAATTTATTTATGCATAGTTGATGCCCGATTCCTTTTTCGTTTGTAATAATGGGAAAAAAGCTGGGAAAATTTTTAAGCCTCACCTGTGCACGTCTCTTTCACAGATCTTGAATGGATGTGCCAGTCAATCTGAAAGTAACTCAGGCACCCATGAATCTGATCAACACACAGGAAGGGCTTGGAGCTTGATAACATGCTAACCTTTGAAGGGCAGGTGAAATATTTCCTACTGAATTTGTAAACAGGAGGAATGAAGGTGTGGGGTGCAAACTATATGCAACGCAGTAGCAACTGCAACTACCAACTTGCTGTTTGCATATGCGCACACACCTTTTGGGGGCTGCCAGTACTGCTTGGCTGTTGGTCCTACTAAAATCAATGGGGGGGGGGGGGTTGCACATACCCATTTTGTGCCTGCAATTTAAGCTGCATGCCTTGAAAATCTGTTTGATTTTTACTGGAGTAAACAGGGAAGCTGTTGTGCCACAGGGTTTCCAAGCAACACAATCTCTGATTAAAGAGAAATTTTAAAAACTCACTGATTTACCATGTTAAAAAAGATGGCACATTTATTGCTACATAAATGTTATATACATAGTGTTTTCTGTTACATTGACAGAAAAATTTTTGAACTTCTTGCTGCTGGTTGAAAAGGTTTTATCAGCAATACCTTGAAATTTGACACAGGGTACAAATCTGCAATAAACCAACAATGGAAACTGGAGAACAAGATGAGAAGCAATTCATCTCGGACAATTAGCTCTTACAATACTCCATAGGTACTACACGGTATGCTAGAACCCTACTATGGTCTTACAATGCTATTGTAAATTTCTGATATTAATGAACATGTTATGGTAAATAACCCTACATTTTTACTACCTAATATAGTAAAATAAAGTAAGAAACTTTTTACTGAAAACTTTTTCGATTTCAAAAATCTAGAAAGAGTAATATTTAGAATTCAAGAAATTTTCTTACAAGATTATTGTATAAAAGACTAGCTACAGTGAAAAATAAGCCAAATGTATTTTTCTTTCTATTTTATGAAGGAAAGCTTCTGGGCATACTGCAAAGTCTAATATAGCCAAAAAGACGACAAGCTTAGAAGGAAAAAGGCCTGGCAGTGGCACGTGATCACTTTCACACGTCATAAGCAACAAATTTGTTTAGCTGATAAACACTGAAATGAAGAACAAGGCCACAGATATAGTCAGATATTATCTGATGATATATTCAAATTAATTAAAGTAATAGAATGAAATCACTAATTTCACAAACAACTGGTTTGTTAGGAATCATCCAAAACGTGATTTTAAATTCATTAGTCTGTTTTAAGTCTTTTTTTTTGTTCTTTTAAATTAATTGAAATTATTTAAAATGATTAACTGTTTTGTTCCTTTTTTGTGTGTGAGCTGATTGCGTATTGCCCATTTTACTGGTGGCAAACAATAGCTAAGACAACCTTGGCTTGATAGTTTTCCCCCATGGTCATTGCAGTGGAAGACAGTTTCCATGGAAGTTCAGAGGGATTTTAACAATCAACACATTAGTGACAAAGGAATACTTATGGACACTGTTCTGGTGGAGCAACATTTAATGATTTAATGCTAATATGGCTTGGGAGGGGGCAGTTTGTTTGCAACTGATTGAATCACACTGAATTCTTCTCCACTGACAAGCCATACAAAAATGACAAGATAATTAATGTATACAATAAGGAAAAAGATTGGTGACCATTGCTCTTATCTCCCATTATGTAATTAGCCCACCACAGCTGTGTTTAGTTCATCACACTATCTGCCATGGTGAATTTAGGATTTTACTGTTCACCATAATTACAGCCCGAAAAGTCTCCTTTGTATTTTAATGCATTTTGTGCTTACGTACAGCTAACACTTTACATGTACTATATGTAGTACTTACTGCTTGGAAAACAAAGCAATTCTAACAAAGTAGATTCTCCCCACCCAATTTACACTTCACGTTACAAGCTTTACTATGAAGCCTAGAAGCCTAAAAAGGTTTGGTTTATAATTAGAAATAAAAATATTTATTTGAGGAAAGTCTGAGGGGAAAAAATACCACTTTTTAAATCCAAGAAATGGCATGGTCACAGTAGTGCTCCTGTCTGCGGTCTTCACTGTACCTTCGAATGGGTTGAAGTATGGAGCTCAGTATGGAAGCGGACGATGACCATAACTGTTCAGATTACCAGAGAACCAAAAAAAAAAAAAAAGCTATGCCAAGGAATATTTTCCTATTGCATGGAAAACACTAGTCATATGGCAAAAGGAGTAGAAAGGACAACAAAAGACTTTTCCCTTCCTTTTTTAAGACACTAATAGGTATGCTGGGAATGCTAAGGGTCAACGGTTGTCACGGCTTTGTTCTCTGAATGTGAACAGCTTTAACAAATGCTGGCATCAGCTGAAATTCTATCAGCTTTCAACATGTTAACTTTTCCCTTTATATGTAGACCTTTACAGTTCCATAACAATAAATAAAATTTGTAGTTACAATGCATTTGTCAATTCAGTTTAGGCACAAGGCAACTTCCACGATGAGTGGAGAGATCACAACAGTCTCTGATTGTGCAGAAGCGACACACTGCTTGCAACAGAATGATATGTTCAGAGTATTTCATGGGCTGAAATTCTATCTGAAGATCTTTGTATCTTCACTTCTGATGCAGGTGTTGACCAGTAGCTTTGATCATAAGATTGCATTTGGGTTTCTTGCTTCAAGTGTTTTCTCCTGTCAGATTTGTGTCTTCATATAATGTTAGTTGTCTGTGTCCTTGTGAAGAAAGGTCACCTTCTATATATCCTACCGATAATTCTGGAATTCTGGCATGGAAATAGGAGAAAAATTGTATTAGTAAAACAATTAATGAAAAATTAACAACACTATTATATAGACTGTAGCTATATCATATGTGCAGTGTTGTTGCAGCTATGTCAGTCCCAGCATATTAGAGAGAGACACTCGGTGAGGTGAAATCTTCTTTTGAACCAACTTCTGGTGGTGAAAGAGACAAGCATTCGAGTTTACATAGAACTCTTCTTCAGGTCTTTTTTCAGTGAATTTAGTGCAAATGAAATGTACCAAATTACTGCACTTCTGTGTCCCTCAAGCACATCCAGCAAACAGTGCAAAAATATCCAACTCCACTGATGTGCCATGAAGATGGCCTGGGAAAAACATTTTTTGGTGAGGTTGACAAGATAGCTCAGTCTCCATGCCCATTCCAGCATGGACTTCTCAGCTGAGACTGCCAACTACGATGTTGGTCAGGATGGTAATTCTTATAATGTGGAAACCTGTCTACCAGGAATTGGACTGAAACCACTAAATCTATTTTATCTAGGCAACTGAAAAGCTATTAAAATCTTGAGGTATCAGCAGCAAGATACCACTGATTATATAGAGAAACCAAAACTAACTTATTTTTTCCTCAACTCAAAGGAGAGCTTCACCTTTAGAACAAAACCCTACAATGGAATGGAATGGAACAATTCTTAACAATCCAGTATGGTTTAGAAGTACATGACCACTTTGTCATACGCTTTGTGTTATTTTAAAAATAAATGTCTCAACCTAGCAAAAATGAAAGAACTACAACCAACTAAAGAAACTGATGTGGGAAAAACTGTTAATAGCCTACTCTTTTTCAGAATGGCACTGAACATTTCCCTCTGTCTGGAAAATCATGATTTTATATATTGTTTAGGAGGTGGTAGGGGGGGGGGGGGAGTAAATATTTGCAACACTCAATTTTCAGGTCTAAAAAAACCAAACAATTGTTTAAATTTGTCTTTACCAAGACTACATGTTTAACAATTTTCATCTAAGAATTGGACATTTTCTGCAGAAGCTCATCTTTTCCTAAGTTATACAAATGATTATTCATATTCTAATTCGCATACTTAAAGGTGCATGCTGTTATATGTAACTAATCAGTACAATCTTTTTCATCAATGTTCAGATTTTGTTACCCTAATAGGGTAATTACTTAAAAGTTTAACGACATCATGGTACTTCTTGCTACATGTTCTTTGTAAAAGCATGCAGAGAAATTCAATTCTTATCGTGGCGTGAAAATCCACCGTGTTGATTTGACAGGACTGTCTTTTGGCAAATTAGAAGGGGCCTATTGTAGTGGTGTGAAATGAAACAAAAATTAGAGGATCTCAGTAGGCTTTTTATGCTTTGAGGTAGAAAAAAGAACATTTCTTCAATCTAGTTTACAGAGGAAGGAGCTGACTGGGATTGCTATGGCAATGGGAAAAATATCACCAGAAATATCTAACAAGGTTCAATTTCAGTGCCACCTTGATGTTTTGGAAGGTCTCTCAGAGGATGCTGCAGAAGGATTTGCCACACAACTTTGACCAAAGTTAATAGAAGCTATGATACTAAATCCATGGACGATGCATCCAAAATCTAATCTCTTGTCTTTGTAAAATATAAGTGAAAATAAAGGCACTGGAGCCTGACCATGGGCATAATAGCTTTGATGAGCCCAAGTGGCCAGGAAAATACTTCTTTAAAGAATTCTAAAAGGAATTTGCAGGGTCAAAAGCAGCTTTTCATTATTTTTTACCAATTCTGTTGAAAAACAGACTGCTATCCCAGTATGGGATCATCAACTGGAGCTTTCAAATGAATGATATAGTAACCACCTGGCTACATGAGACAATACAAACATTGGTTTTTCGTGTGTGTATTCACAAAAAGCTGAAATTGTAGCCACATAAAGTAGGATTTTATTGAAGATGTCTAATGCAGATTGCAAAGACAAACAGTCAAGTAATGCCTGTCAGACAAGTGGTATGATTTAAATGACTGGCCTCAAGCCAAATACCAATCCTCTTCTATTTGAAATGAAAAGCCCCTTCTGACTATTTGAGTTGCTGTGTGAATCAGCCACAGGAAATAATGAATTGATAATTAAACAAGTGAGATATTTATACCTCTGGAGTATGCACAATTAATCTCTATTATTTTTGGCTTATCTAGCCTAGTCATGAGTAGTTCCTCTGAGGTCACACTATGAAGGCCACCTGACCCAGGAGGATATATCTGTAGGCAAATAAAAAGCTACCTAAAATTCCTGGTTCTTTAGTTTATAACTAACCCACATCTGAATATTCTTACTCATGGCTCAGATGTATAGGAGTGCTTAGTGCACTTTAATGAAGAGGCTAATGTCCACTGGTAGCTCCAATTACTCAGAATAATCACACAAATTGTGTTTTTGTTGGCTTTCAAACTTCAGTCAGTAAATCGAGTTACAGCCATTCCAGTGCATTGATGGGACCCTCTCCCCAAACTGATGAACATGAAGAAGAGACGTACCTGGCTGGTGTTCACATATGACCCATAGGGTTGGTAGTTTCACTAAGCCCAGTGTGGCTTCCTGGGTGTGGTGTTGGTGGCTCTGCCGATACGGCAGAAACTTTTTCTTCTTCCCTTCTCTTAAGGCAGGCTGCTTTGGGGTTTAGGTTCCTCTCTGTCACAGGAGAGAAAACAGCCCTTAACATCCTATGCACTGCTACCAAGAGTGGGCATTTAGCATATTCACAATAGGCCATGGTACTGAAGAAATCTATCCATTTTGCACAGCTTCTGTTTCTGATTTTTGAAGATATTTAGGCTGCTGAAGATTCAGACAAGTGCCAAATTGAATTTTCAAAAGTGCCTATTCATTTTAATAGGACTTAACCACCTACGTGCTTTTGAAAATTCCAATGGGCACCAATCTATTTTGAGGTGCCTCAACACCTTTGAAAATGTGACCCTTTGTTACCACAGAAATTTGCTAAACTGGAAACCAAAGAAAATGCACTTTGGAGTTTTCAATTTCCTTAAACGCAAACCAATGAGATTTTGCCCCTGTGCTGAAGTCAGGGCAGTGAGGATGACATCATTCAACTTGCTGGACAATAACCATGTTATACTGCCTTTTTGCTGGCCCTCAGCAACACGTAGAGCAAAGGCAGTTGAATTGGCTGTAGTGGTGCTCCTCATCCTCTTTGCATAGTCCTCAAACTACCCACAGTGGGCCACTCAGTTTTCAGAAGCCTGTTAGCATTGTTAGGTGACAGCAATGTATTCCTCCCCACAAAACTTCCCACGTAACTTTGGCAAGTCATACTCAGCTCCTTACTTACTATCTCTGCAAAATGGGCCTGGGCACACTTCCGCTAAGCCAGGAGAATGTTTGGATGGGTGACGAGTAATTTTACTATATTTCCTTTCTCTTTAGAATGTCAGCCTTTGCTGGTTTGTACCTGGCAAAAATATTCTCGCTTGTCATGTTTTTTCGGAATAAGCTTCAATGACAGAGAACTTGGTCTAGTTTTTAAATCATGGCTATTTTTTAAACATGTTACTTTTCCTGTTCTTGAAAACTGCCTCTTCCATGAGCCAAAATAAAATTTTAAAAAACCTAGATGTTTTAAATTTTGTGGTATAATACAATCCCATTGGACAGACAAAGGGACACAGAATTATTAGATGCAGTCACTTAAAAAAAAAAAAGAGTAATTTTAAATGTCAGACCACTACCGAATTTAATTAACATTTTCAGATAATATTTTAGTTGTCAATGAAATTTAACCAAAAATCTGAAATGTGAGGATTTCCCTGTCTCTCTTTGGGGTCTTGAGTAATAATAAAAAAGTCAGGGTTTTTTTTGTTTTTGTTTTGTTTTTTTGGGTAGAACCAAGGATACAATTGAAGAAATTACAACCATTTAATAATATGCCAACCTGCAGACCCAGCACTGGAACCCTTATCACCTTGCTCCATACTTACTGACTCTACCACTTGAGCTACTTGAAGAACTCTGATGACTATCAGCTACAGAAATACCCTCTTGTTATTTATAATTAAAAATGTGACAGTTGCGGGCAGTGTGCACACATGGTGTCTATTCTGCTTCGGCAAAAATCTCCCAAGAGCAACAATGAGCAGGATCGGGCCCCAAATTGTTGAGAGCAAAATTTGTTAACAACTTTGCTTAAGTACAACCCTTTTTTTTCTAGAAATATAGCTGGTCTGTGAGTTTCAAGGAGGCTCACCTAAGCGGAAGCTTTGAGGGGTAATGGCAAACTATTATTTAGCTGCTGGGAGATAAAAATATATTAGGCCAAACTCAGAGTTTCAAAACAGTGTAGTTTTAATTTTAAAAGGGTGACCAGATGTCCTGATTTTACAGGGACAGTCCTGATTTTTGGGTCTTTTTCTTATACAGGATCCTATTACCCCTCCACCCCCATTCTGATTTTTCACACTTGCTGTCTGGTCACCCTAATTTTAAATTGACCTATAGCTCAAAAAATTGTATATAGAAATAATCTCTGTTGCCTTCATAGAAAATATAATGATTTTCCAAGCCAAAGTTGCAAAGGGGCTGAAACGGGACTTCATATTGAAAGCTGGCTGCAACCTTAATTCTAGAGACACTATTGCCTCGCCATAATAACTGTTCATCCAGTGTTCTCTGAAGGGAACTTAATTCCATTAAAAGCTGTATCAACAAAACTATGCCTAAAAGTAAGATGTCAAATGTTTGACACAAAGTACTTATGCTCAGTGTCATTATTCACGCTGTCACTTCTAACACATATTCTTTCAGTGATTGTTTTGATATACCATGCAAAATACCACTGAAGGTGAAAGTAAAAATGAGGTGTAAGTTGCCAATATAAGCTGCAGAATACACTGTCCTTTAGAGAGATGACACGCTAAGCAAACACGAATGTTGACATCGTCCACACCTGCAAGACATTTACACTCAGATTGGAAATGCATCCGATGAGAAATACAATAAAGGACAGTTGTTCAGCCAGCCCAAAGGGAGAAAAAATGAGAACGCTCACCCAATTCTCTTAGGCATCAACCTCACAAGGGAGACAGGTGGCTCAGATGTCTGTTTCATCATTTCTTTGACATAAATGTAAAAGGAGCTTAGACATTAAGGTCAACAGTAGCTCCATTAACATAGGAGAATGGAAGTGTTATCAAGGACTATGTTTATTTTTCAACATGACCTCTAGAAGCGGCATCTAAAGGATGCCACAGATGTGTATTTGTTGATAAGAATTAAGAAAAATGTACATTGCAGAGACAGAAGTAAAAGAAAAGCAAGTATGTTTCTCTAGTTGTTTTCCTTAAAGTCACATCAATTTACAAAGAACTCCTCATTTTCTCGCCTCCTTGTAGTGCATGTTATTTCCTTTTTTTAAAAAAAACACGTGAATTGTGAAAGACAAAGGAAAGGAGGACATGTGAAAAATAAATTATGGAATTAATTTTTTTTATATTTTCTTGTATAAAATATGCAATAAGTAGCTACACCATTACTCATAGTAATATATACTGTAATTTAAACTTAATTAAATCCAATCAAACTTACTTGCCTCTTATAGAAATGTGTAGGACTAACCTTAAATTACAGACCTTTTCTTTTTGCTAAAATTTCCATACTGTTAAATGAGCATATGTTGCAAATCAAAGCAGGACATTCCTCAATCTTTTCCTTAATGAGTCTACTCTGGATGCATAATGAGAGATGGCTAATTGCAAAGGAGCAAACACAGGATCAAAGGATCCTAAACCTATTTTATTTTGAACATTCCCTTGCTTTTCCCAAAGTATGTTAACATTTTTACATGAAGGCAAATATGTTTCTAATAAATTGTACATCTGGTTAGTTGCTGTGTATGTTAGAAGAAAAAATGCAAATGAAAAACATGATGCATGCAGTAAAGGGGACTGCAAACTGTTACATGAGTAAAACAACCCTCTAGCTGTTACAGCACAGTGCTGGTAGCCTACTAACCTCTGACTTGTTGCTCTAGACTGAGGATGACTGCCACAGCCTGGTGAAGAATAAGCAGTTTTGTTTGTGGTTTTTCACTCTTCAGGTGAAGCTGACACATACGGCCAAGTTCTTTAAATGCCTCATTAATATCTCGTACACGCAAGCGTTCTCTAGCGTTATTTGCCATTCTCCTCTCTTTCTCTCTTTCTATCTTCTGTTCTGGGTTTAAGTCTTCATCTTCATTAGTACTGCTGAAAAAAACCCCAGGGAAAATAAAAGTTTGATAGATATTTTGGAGGTCAGGATCCATTTTAACAACAGGTATAAACATCACAAGTGTGTCTGGCAAATGTCATGGCTAAAATATCCATGTTAGATCAGAATTCCTATTTGACTCGTTTTATGCTCGTATATCCATTTAACTGTGAAAGCATATAAATGGTCTCATCTGAAAAAGAAAAGTGATGATTTCAAATTGGCACATATACACAAGCAAACTGATACAAATATATATATTGCTGCTGCCATTCTTGCCACCTTCAGATTTCCCTGAAAATATGCATCTCATTGGCTTTTACGTAGCTAGTTCATACTGAATTAAGTAAAAATCATATGTACAGTGCCCATACATAGCACACTATTTCCAAGAATAATGTAGGAATACACTGCACCCTTGGCGAAGCAATGGTACATATAACAAACTTGCTGCCTACTCATTGGTTGGTGGACTTCCCAAATTCAGAGTTTCCCAACCATCATTTCAGGGATGCATAAAGCATCTGTAATAGATTTTGACGCTTTCCAACATCTCAACTGCATTCAAAAATCATACAAATAATTTTCAACTTAATAAATTCATACATTTATGAAAAATATGATTCTTTCCTATTAAACATTTATTTGTGCAGTTTTCAAAAACTTTCCCTTTTTTATCATCCATTGCAGATCTAGTGGAAGTTTTGCAGCTAAGGACTTCTTTATCACTCCACTCCAAATTGTGATAACTATATAGCTGCACACTGTAGAGAGGACTACGATTAACTTTAAAACTGTGTAAAAATAAGATTTCAAAATCTTCTGCTGATTCCTCTGTGCATTATTAAAATGCCAATGTGTAAAAATACCATGTTCTGCCTATTGATATATGCACATAAAGTCAACATTTTAAAACACAAGCTTATTAATATAGGACAAAAAGGAAGCTTTGAGACTGAATCTAAAGTTACCAATGGTTTACAAGCTCTCGCTGCTATTGGTAAGGACACAATATGCAAAACAGCCTGTGCTTTAAAAAGAAGCAGAGTAGAGTCCTTTGCTGGCATACCAAGATCATACCTCGTTCTTCCTCTAGATGAAACTTTAATATCCTTTTGGGAGGATTCATCATCTGATTTCATGTCATCAGATGAGGGAGGTTCGTGTATATTTTCATCCTTCTCCTTATGTTCTGACTTGATTTCTGCTGGACCTATGGCCACAGACTGGCTCTGCAAGCCACCTGACAATGCTGCAAACAAACACAGCTCAGTATAAATTATAGTCAGGAGAACAGCCCCCCTTCATGCTGGAAAATATTTTATAAGTGAATCGCAAGCGAGTTTCCACCTTGTTGTTTATTAAGACAGAGAAAGTGGGGTGGGGCAAGCTTTGGAGAGGCCTGGAGGTTAGGGTGTGAGGTTGCATGGTAAGGAAGGTGAGACAGGGATAGGCAAGGAGTGAGGGTGGAAGAGGACTGTAGGCGAGTGGAGAAGAAGGAGGTGGGCTAGGTCAGTGAGAGGAACTGAGCAGTGGCAGCATGGATATGAGAAGGGTTCAGGGACATACTGTACTTGACTATTGTGTTGGGGAGAAGGTAGCAATCAAAAGGAGTGGCTGTCATGCATATCTGGCAGTAACACTGTAACCTTTTGATCTACCTTACTAACAAGGCACATGAGCTCTCTCATGGAAGAGAACCATTAACCTCAGATAAATACACTCTTTGGAATTTATTAGACAAAACTAATTCGATAGTATAATTGGTAAAGTTTGACAAAAATATTTCATAAGTTTGTGATTATGTCTCTGAATTTGACCAAATTCACTACTGTTTGTTTTTAACTCTTAAGGTAAGATGTACCAACTTCAACTGTTACTGTATCATTTTCTCTGAAGAACCCTTGATTTTGGAATTCACTCCCCAACCTCTTGCTCAAAAGTAGCCTAAACTTGTGGACCTTCAGAGCATGTTGCAAGATCATTTACTTACTCTGGCTTTTGGGAAGGGTTGAGATGCTTGCAGGTGGCTGATGAATTTTTACTTTCCTATATTCAGAGGAACGGCTGGTAGATTTATGTTCATTCGGGGTTGATCCGGTTTCACTATCATGCTTTAATCTGAGTTTTGTATATTTAAGCTACAGGCAAGTGCCTAGAGCTTTCACATATCAGCACTCTAATTATAAACGGAAATGATTTACAGTACTGAACAAATCAGTTCTATCCACTGTTATGCATCAGTGTGTGGCTCTGGGAAGATTATTTAGTATTTAGTGAAAAATGTTTCCTAGGGAATACAATGACACAAGACATCTGATAGAGAATACTGGATTGCATTTCAGGAGTATTATTTGGCATACAATTTAGAGGTTTGGTGAACGCATACATCAGCATGCAAAAGCTTGGGTTAGGATTAAGGCAGCTTCCTGCAGAGGTAGAAGTATACATCAGCGGTTAGTGATAGAGCTGATGGTGCAAAAACAGTGGAAAAGAATGTAAGCAGTTATTGATCAAGACTCTTGTATCAGAGCTAGTCACAGCACAACTATTTGCAATCTAACAAGCAGAGCTGACAGAATAAAGAGGGCAGGACCGGATCTACATGATGCTTTTGAGCTCAATATAAACAGATATATTTAGTGCAGTAAGCGAATCCTGCACATTAAGTACGAAATGCAAACCCCAAACAGTGCAGGCATGCTGGTGCACGAATTGCCTTCTTTAAATGGCCTACTTTCCAAGCTAAGAATTGAGGCAGCCTCTCCACAGCAGTTTAAGGCTTTTTGTCTTTATTGGTCATGTGTTGAAATACAGGCTTGTTGTGTATTATAAAAATCACATGTGTCAGACTCGTCTGGCTGATTTACAAATGGCAACCAAGCGCTGCAAAGGAGTTCTAGCCAGTTCACTTCAGCTGGAAGAATGGTGGCTGTGATGTGAGGTCTCACATGGAATTTGGATCAGGGAGTGGCATGAAACAGGGTTATACCTGAATTCCTGTAAGAATCCAGAGCTTGGTGAAATTGGTAATCAATAGAAATTAAGTCATATGTCACAAATTACGTGCATCATCCGTCTTATCTACGTATTTATGCATATTTACCTAGATCTATAGCCTTCTTGTCCCTGGATTATTAAAAAACCTAATTTACCACTGAATAGTACAGTACAATTACCTCTGTAATTTTCTTGTGTTTTATGATTTAGTTCTGTGCTCTGAGCAGACACTGTACTGGGCAGGACTGAATGGTTGCTGTTGAGGCTGACACTTTCTTCCCGATGAGTTCCAGCCTAAAGCAAAGAAAAGCAAAACCGTTCCCATCACCAATTTAATCCAAGGAAATAATCCACACTGTAAATTTACACTCAACATTGATGTAAAATACAGGGTGTTTCTACAATAGAAAAACAACACCTGTAAGTATGTTGATAGAGTGTTAAAGCTTTTTTAAAAATCAAGAATTGTAGTCTAAAAATATTGTGAAATGAGACATTAATGTGGACATACTACTACATAAGGCAGATTTTCTTTCAGGTGAAATATTTGTAAACTGTTGCCTAGTCCTTTACATAGTATACAAAGTGTTCCAAAATGCCACACTTTGCATATCCAAGATTAGATCTACTGATGGATCAACTCATGTGAATAAAATTATGCACGTGCTTAAGTGTTTGCAGGATTGGGGCCTTGAGTTATGGGTCAGCAAAGGAAAGCTATAGCTGAAAAAGACGATATACTGGACTAAACCGGGGGTTCTCAAACTGGGGTCCGAACCCCTCTGGGGGTCGTGAGGTTATTATATGGGGGGTTGCGAGCTGTCAGCCTCCACCCCAAACCCTGCTTTTCCTCCAGCATTTATAATGGTGTTAAATATATAAAAATGTGTTTTTAATGTATGAGGGAGGGGGGTCGCACTCAGAGGCTTGCTATGTGAAAGGTCACCAGTACAAATGTTTGAGAACCACTGGACTAAACCACTGGATTACCCCATACTGAATTAGATAACTGTTCCAGGAAGTGACCAAAACCCGACTATAATTATACAACAGCCTAGCGAATTTTCAGAGTCATACCATGGAACAGGGATTTTTTTTTCCTGAGGCATAAGATTTGATTTCCATTGGATCTGCTTTAGTTTGCGTAGCTGTAAATTTTAACAGTCATAAAATTGTGTTCTTTAAATAAAGTCCTCCTGAATTAATGGTCTTGACCTCATGTGGCAGGGATTTTTTTAAATCAGCTAAATCCTTGTTCTTGTTTTATGAAATAAGATTAAAGAAGAATACAATCTATTTTCACAATACCTTTATTTTATATACCTCGATAAGTACTCTCATTCTCCTTCTTTCCAGGCAAATATGGTCATATCTATCAGTCACATTACAGTATGTGATCACATGAAAGAACACCAGTGTCTCTATCTTCATTGTCCCTCTCAGGACCTTTTCATTCTTACAATGAGGTGACTAAAAACTGACCCTACTTCTAACAGCTGTGGGCCTAAAGATGAGTAGTCTTAAAAAAATTAATTCAAGTTTTGCATGAATTTGGACTAATGATACTTAACACCTATGTACATGAATGAAGGATATACACATTTAGATTTAGCAAGCAAATTCATTAGAAAACTGCTAGCCAGTAAGGAAAACTCTTCATTGCTATCCATTTAAACACTTTTACCTTAAAAATGTACATTTAAAAAAAATTATAAAGAGGAGATACTGAGAAATGCAACCTGAGTTTAAAATCATCTGGAAAACTGGTTTATTAAAGCTTCTAATTTCTTGACACACAAGCCTTGGGAAACATTTAGTTTTAAAACAAAAACCAAAATAATGCAATTAACTGTAAAAAAAAAACAAAAACTAAGAGGAAAAGACCAAGGATACTGTCATTATTTTATACTTACAAAAACTGGCTACAGATGAGGCTTTTTATTGCAACAGTAGCAAACATGTCAACTAGAAGATTAAGCCTTTAATTAAATAGGTTTATTGCCTGGAGTTACACATGAGAACCACTGTTTTTCAATAAATCCTTCAATCCTAGTAAACTGCTGAGCTTTGAATCCCTCTTGAGTAATTAATGCAGCTTTTACCTTTCATGTCTTAGTATGGGTTTTGCCCAGAGAGAGATAAATACCCTTATGCAAGTTTATCCTTTGTTTAATATACACTATTTTCTATGAGCTAACACACAGGAACAAGAAAGGAATTTAAAAAAAAAGTAAGCAAGCAAGCTAATACCAGGTCATTCTGGTCTGTTATTTGTATCTATTGTTTTGTATCCAATAATCCATCACACAAAGCAAGATAGCTTGGCACTATTTACAGTGT